CCTGGCTTTTTTTTTTTTTCTTTGGTTGCAGCCATCATTGTTGTTTGGCGGACCCGGACTGGATTTGAACCCGCCACCTTAGGTGTATGTGGCTTGCGCCTTAGCCACTTGAGCCACAGGCGCCCAGCCAGTAATAACTGCTTCTTCAAAGGGAATATCAAGTCCATAGGTAGATGGTTCTGCAGGACATGGCACCTATATCCCACCGTGCTCCTTGTCAGTTCCTACCTAACGGGCACAGAGCAAGGTTGTGAGAATGGGGGGGGGGCATTGAAGAGTGGCTTTGGGACAGACAGAACTCAATTTTAATTGTGTCTCTTACACTTTATTTTGTGTTTTACCTAACCCTTAGCTCATCATCAGTAGAATGAAGCCACTGTTCTTTTTATCCATTCTTCTATTCCATCCAGGTATATGGTAAGCATTGAGTCTTCACCACCCTGCTGCTTCTCCTCTTAGTATTTCTCTGATCACCAATTACAAGTGGATCTGAGCTAAGGCTACATTCAGAAAAGGGCTGGTCTAACTGGCTTCTTATGCTCAGAATGGAGGTGACAGGACTCTCCTTTGGTTACAAGTTGGAATGGGTTAATTCCTCTAGACTGTAAGCTGCCTTGCCTTTAGAGTGCATTCTCACCTCCCAGACCTCTCAATCTTGGCTTTGGTAGTAGGTTTCTACACTGTCCTTTCTTATCTTTCTTTAGGCTCCCATGTGCTCCTGACCACAACACAATGAAGGTCACCACTGCCTTTCACTTCTCCTAAGGAAGCTCAGGCTCCCTATGTGTGTCACTTATCTACCAAACACCAGCTTCACAAAGCTTTTATTTTTTTATTTTTTGAGACAGAGCCTCAAGCTATCCCCTTGGGTAGAGTGCCGTGGCATCACAGCTCACAGCAACCTCCAACTCCTGGGCTCAAGTGAGTCTCCTGCCTCAGCCTCCCAAGGAGGCTAGGACCACAGGCACCCGCCACAATGACCAGCTATTTTTTGGTTGCAGCCGTCATTGTTGTTTGGTGGGCCTGGGCTGGAGTCGAACCCACCACTTTAGGTGTATGTGGCTGGTGCCTTAGCCACCTAAGCCACAGGTGCCGAGCCTACACAAAGCTTTTAAAATCATTTCTCTCCTATTGGGAAAACTTAGAAGTATCTGCTGTTTCTTTCATTCTCTGGTGAGTGCTCTCGTGATGCCAAGGGCCCTTGTCTCCAAGGCAGTCACAGATTGAGCTCTGATTCCCATGCCTTCTGTCATGCTTTGTAATTTACAGAAATCATCCACTTTCTATAGGCCATCTCCCCCTGTATTAAAAAGTAGGGACAAGAATCTGCATTCCTTCTGTCTTAAAAAAGTGAGAGAGTAAGGAAGATAACAGACATGAAAGCCCAATGAGTTCCCAGGAGAGTGGACAATGGGACTTGTACATCAGAGCAGTGAAGCATCAGACATAACAGTGGTTCTCTTGATAGTTTAATGTTATATTTGCAGCATAAATAAGGCACAATATATGCCCGGGCAAGGGAGGGAAGGTAAAGGCATGGCTGGAGGGATAACTGCTAAGTAGCAAAGGGGAAGGAAGAAGGGACGGTTAGGGAGAATAGAGCGAAGCCCCTGCCTCAGCCCCGTCCCGGGAGATTGTGAGAGCCTGCTCACAGGAATCATGCTGAATTGGGTGGAGGGAAAAGGGATAAGATGGTTTTGTAACAAAATAGCCTGTAGCACTGCATCCTCCTACCTGTCAAAGGCCACCACCAGGGCCTGGAGAGACCAGACCCAGAGACAAGTTCCTTGATAAGATGGAGAGGTGTTGCTACATGTCAAAAATATATAGATAAACAGAGATATAATCATAGATACACACTGCTTTCTTTTCAATAGATACTGTGTCAGGATGCGGCAGCCTCAACTAATGGGCTGGGGCTCATCTCCTCCCTGCCTGAAAGGTGTGTGTGTATGGGAGGCATGGGACAGCTAAGGCTCCAGCTGGCCCTGAATGTAACAAAGAATGTGGAGTGATCAGTCTGTAAGAGAATATGGGATAACTCCTGTCCATTCCAGCATAGGGATAGGTTTTAGGGGTTAAGACTAGAAGAAAGACAAATCTAGATTTTGAGATCAGTGATGTGGTGGTTGTTTTAAGGGGAAAGGAGGGAGGGACTGGAAGAAATAGAAAAACGTTAGTGCTAAGGCAGAGGAAGGTATTTAAAATATCCTCAACACCCTGTAAGAATTTCCTAGCTTGACCCCCAAGGCAATGGTTCCCAAACTTTCCTGTGCATTAGAATCACCTGGAGTGCTTACTAAAACCTGTCCCCAGAACTTCTGACTCAACAGCTCTGGGATGGAGACCAAGAATGTGAATTTCTAACAAGCTCCCAGATGACAGTGATGTTGATATTGCTGGTCCTGGATCATATTCTGAGAACTACTGCCCTAAGGTAAAGTCAATGAAGCTAGTGCTCATAGCCACTTCTCACAGCTACAGACCTTACTCATAGTAGCTAATGCTACTGAGAGATCTCTGTGCCACTAGCCCTCCATTAAAAATTAAAATAAACTCTAGTAGCTATGATACAAACCTGAATCTATCAAGGACCTAAGCTGCTTTCACCTGCCCTATTCTCCCCAGTCTTTTCTCATTCTGGGGTAGGACTTTATCCCAAAGAGAAGACAATTCAACTGGTACAGGGAGTGGGAATGTTTGCTAGCAGCCGCCTAAGCTCATTCCTGCTGGGTTACCATCCTGGGGTGGGTGGGTGGAAATTTACACCTGTGTGCACAAGCATGTGTGCAGACAGAAATCAGTTCTACACCACGAGAGGGAGGCAGGGCCAACCAGAGCCAGTCAGAGCTGTACTGGGGCTGAGAGGGTCCTCTAATCTGCCTTAGGAGTCTCACCAGTCCAATTCTGTTGCACCCCCTCTACACCTGTCAAACATAAGTCTAAAAAGAGCAGGAAGAGCGTATCAACAAAAGTATATGTGACATAGCTCAGAGGACTGGAACCCAAACAGACTGGTTATGAAATTAAAAAAAGAAATAATGCATTTCCTTCCTATGTATACAATGTACAGTATTAATGGAAAATAATGATTTGGGGATGGGAGGGAAGATTAAAACGAAGGGGGATGTGGGTAAGGAGAGCTGACCTAGGGGCTAGCACCTTCGAGGAGCCTCTCAGTGTGGCAGAGGGGAGCCTGGGAAACTAGAGGAGGAATTTGTGGGTGTATGCTTGGTGGTTCAGGATGTATACAGGGCCTGGTTATGGTTAAGCACCCCATCTACTAGGATGGGTGCTGCTGGAGGGCAGTGAATCAAGAAAGGAGCTGTCTACTTCTAGTTTAGGACTGTTTAGAAAAAAAAAAACAGCAAGCAAGTAGGTGAATTTCTTCTCAGCGTTTTGGCTACAATCAAGTGTGAGGAAAGGAGCTGAGAAGAACAGTATGGCTAGGGAAGGCAGCAAGGTAAGGGTCAATTGGCCCAGCTCCTGCTTAACCACTACCTGCATTACATAGTCTAGTGCTCAGGGCCAACGTGAGGACTGGAGGTTGAAGCTTTGAAGCTAGATCTGGGGAGTACAACCCACAGGGGAAGAGCAAGTAAAGGAGGTATGGCTTTTGCTACCCTCTCTAGTAGTATGGGAGGCTTTCTCAGACTTTTCAACTTTAAGCCAGGTTTCTTTTAAGGGAATGAGGCAGAAAGTGTTCAGACAGAAGACGTGGTTCTGACTCCTTTCTCTATGGCTCTGGGCACCCAGTAGCTAGCTGTGTCTGTGCAGTGGGTGGGAAACCTGAGACCTGCACTCACTCAAGGTAATCCAAGACCCTCATCCCCTCAGCTCCTTTCTAAAAGTGTCCTCTAAAGAGGCCACAGTCTCTAAATTAGAAAGGGCTCAGTGATACCCTTTGTGTTGTGTGGTCTAGAAGAGCCTGAAAGACAGAGATCGGGAGAGAGTGACCACATGGCTGGCAGCAATCACAAGGTTAGAGACACTTCCCCTGACTATAAGACAAGCTTCAGAGTAAGCAAATGCTCTGCCTTCTTAGTCAGACTGAGGACCAAATCAAGAGCTGCCTGGCGGGGGGGGGGGGGGGAGTTCTGTCCTGCCTCGTCCTCATTTCAGTGCTGATTCGCTACTATAGTTCTGGCAGTGGTCCTCATTTAGGTCCCCTATACCAACTTCCCACTAATGAATTAAGGACTCAGAGAATTTGACATGGAGGCTAAGAAACTAAAAAGACTCTCTATGTAAATTAGTCACTCAAGCCACAGGTGTGACTAAAAAAAAAATTAGTCACCTAACACATGGCATGGATAGATTGGCAGGGTATGGAGGCAGTGACAAATTGATTCTTAAACTTTAAAAACACTTGATGGAAGGGGGAAGAAAAAGAGTCAAGGGTCTTATGAAAGCTCCTTAGGAGCGATAAACTCAGTCAAGCCTTAGGGCAAGGTTGCTAGTGGGAAATCAAGATAACAAAATATGAAATAAAAATCTAAAGTGAGTGAAAATTCCAGGGAGCAGCATCTAAAGGCAAGGTCCTGAGCACAAGTTATGGCTGTGAATTTTCAAAGTGAAGACCCTGGAGGTGAGAACCTGCATAACATTTGTTAGTCTGAGTCACCTCAGAGCTGTTCCTGTTGGGTACCTTGTTTTCTCTCTCACCTTTGACTTCACTAGGTATGGCTTGCTCAGCACTGGCTCTGAAAAGCATGAGGGGAAATTTAAAAAATGTAAAACATGTCCCCTGGTTCAGTCTATCACTCTAAGGAATGGGAATCTTACAGCTTAGAGCATTTTGGAAGACAAAATAAGCAAAGACTTGGCAGTTACTTTGTATGTATAGACAGATGTAGGAGAGAGAGAGAAAAGGACATTCTAGGCTTGGGCAGATGGTAGAAGGTGGCTCTGGGACAATTGGAAGAGTTTCACACTGAAGTACTATTAAAGCTGACCTATCTATCCACAGGCCTCTGGCTTTGGATTGCTTCCTATGGCCATGGTAGTTACTGCATAGTTCAGAGCCAAGGGAAGATGAGACATCCTAATGGGGAAGGAAGAGGGACAAGAGGGATGAATTTCTCCCTCTACAATCCAATGCTTCAAAGTAAGAATAGTTGAGAGCAATAGTCACCAATTTCCTAGGCAGGCCAGACTCTGGACTCCTCTGCCAAGATCAGTACTACCCCTGACCTCTCCCCTTCCTCCTTTCATCCACTCAGGACCTTGGCTCTGATGCTCTGGAATCCTGGAGCTTATTCTACGGAGAAACATTGCACTTACTGGGCAGAGGGTAGAAATAAGTTGAGGAAGCTCTACAGCCAGTGGCTAGACTAGAAACCTGGGGAAAGAGAAAGAACGTAGTCCAGATGGTGATGGGGTCTTGTGAATTCAAGATCCCAGCTCAGAAAAGAAGACAGATGTGTGAGGCAGAGAGATGGGGTAGAGCAAGGGAACTTAATAGTCCCCTATGTTACAGCTTCCAGGAGGGCTGCATCTGAACTAGTTACAGGAGAGAGACAGAGGCAGTAATGTGGGCAGGGCAATGAAGAGGAAGAGGCAAGAGCAGAGAGAAAAGATGACCAGAGATGACAATATGTATGCTTTGGCCACTTTATGATATAATGGAACAAACTTTAAAGTACACTGGTCCTGTCTAGCCTGATGATTAGAACTGAGGAGAATGGAGAGGAGGCAAGGAAATCAATCAGATCTAGGTTCTTTCCTTTTTCCCCACCAAGAAATCTCTAATAATAAGGCCACAAGATGAGGAAAGACCCCACCACTAAACTGGGTAAAGAGACAAAATGAGGTACTCAAATAGCTCTGGAAATAGATGAAGAAGAATTAGAACTCTGGGGGTTTTGTTATTTCTTTTTGCTTGTTTTTTGGGTGGCAGGTAGGGGAAAGGAATTAAGCTTATAAAGAAGCTGGAAAATACCACTACTTCGTACATCAAAGGTAAACTTACATTCATCATAAGTGAATGTCTGAACTAGAATTTAGGAAGGAGAAAAGGGGACAAACAAGCAGCTACTGGAAGACAAAGTCCTGAGTCCGTGGGTGGCTGGGGTGGGTCAGTAGGCGATGCGCCATCAATCTAGCCTCCCTCTATCTGGCAGGAAGTGGCATGCTGGTAAGAAACAAGAAGGTAACAGCCATGGTTTAGTAGGAGGAGAGGGAAATGAGAAACCCCAAACCTAGAAGTGCAAGGGTTAGTGTTAAAAAGAGATACGTGTGCGTGGGGTAGGGTGATTGTTCGGACCATCTGAAAAGGCCTTTGGCTGTGGGTACATCAGAAGCCCCACCCTTGGGGGATGATGTATGAGACTCTAGGGCTTGGAGGCCCGCAGTACAGATGTCAAACATACATGACCACGTGACTGAAAAGCCCCACACACGTCCATTACTCACAACACACAATTTCACCCCTCCCCCCATATTGCCATGTCCGAGGCAGAAGGGAGGGGATAAGATGACATCTCTCTTGGCTCTTAGGTGGGCGAGCTCTGGCTGGGGACCTCTCCACCAGGGGAGGCATCATCTGCCCGCAGACTGGGACTGTGGGGTCATGATCACATGCGACTGTATTGGCATGGTCACTTCTGTCCTTTGGCTGGCCATCTGAGTGAGGACCGAAGTGGCTACAGCTTCAGCTGCAGAGCGAACACTGAGGCCATTGCTTGGGACTGTTGCTGAGCTGTGCTGAATCACAGGGGCTGGAGAACCCGTTGGCTCTGAGCTTTCCTTGGGGCTTTCTGCCAGGAAAGAGGGCAAAGAACAAGAGCAAGTGGTTAGAAAACAGAATGGAGAAACAGGCAGGACTACTTTCTGCCATAAATCTAAAGGAGTTCAAAGGAAAATGAAACCATCTTTTCTTAGGGAAAGCTCCCAGGAATCCTGGCTACTACATCATAAATAGGCTAGGTAGGAAATGGGAAGCAAGAACTAGGGCAAAATTAACCTATTTATCCCAATAAAGTAAATCCTCAACATGTTAGTTACATTGCCTGGGTTCTCGGTCTCTGCACAGTTCCTTACCCCTATATGAAACACTTTACCTCTTATTCATGCCTTTAGAGATGATTAAACTCTTTTTAGCTATCCTCTCTGATCAATTCCCAGAGGAATGAAATCATTCTACTGTTTTTAATGTTCTTTTAGCATATAGTTGTGCCACAGGTAAATTTGACAAATATCTAGCTTAAAATCAAATGTTGTTATAAATGACCAGTCCTTGGCCAAAGTTCAATTAACACATAAAACTACAAAGAAGTGTGTTAGACTTTAATTAGCTATTAAATAGCTTTAATTAGCTATTAATTAGCTAGGCATTAATGATTTAAAACATTATGAGCTATACCAGTTAAAGTGACAATAACATTTTACTACTAAACACAGATATCCAAGTTGCATGCAAAGGTGACTTCATGTTGCTCCTCAGTCAAGGCCTTTTATTAAACATCAGATAGCTTCTACAGCTGCTTAAACAGAGGGAGATGGAATAAGGGCAACTCCATTCATTGGTTGCATTTTTGACCTTTTGATAAATGCTTGAGTCTTCTTCAGGATTTAAATATTGCTTCCTCTGTGACACCATCTTTGTTATCCTCAGAAAACAGTTTCATCCTTTGTGTTTTGCAGTACTCATTCATCAGATATTTGCTGAGCATTACCCATGTACCAGGCACAGATGCCAAAGAGTAACATGGGAACTCCTTTCTCAGAAAGCTGCCCCAAACAGGGGCTGCTTGACTGGGATAGCTTGTCCTTAGCTCACTCATGGGTACATGACCCTGTGAGTCCCATTCTTTTCTTAGGGAAAGCTCCCAAGAATCCTGGCTACTATGTCATAAATAGGCAAGGTAGGAAATGGGAAGCAAGAACTAGGGCAAAATTAACCTAGTTTTTTTTTTTTTTTTTTTGGCTGGGGCTGGGTTTGAACCCACCACCCTCAGTACATGGGGCTGGCACCCTACTCACTGAGCCACAGGTGCCGCCCTAGAGATGGGGTCTTACTCTTGCTCAGGCTGGTCTTGAACTCCTGAGCACAAGCAATCCCCCGTCTCGGCCTCCCAGATTACAGGCATGAGCCACTTCACCCAGCTGTCTCAATTTGTCCTGTGTCCAGTACTTACCACAACATCTATACCACACGGCAGGACTAAATACGTCTTTGCTATAACAAATAATAGTTTAACGGATTGACTGTAGGTCAGAATTCTTGTAGGAACTAGATGGAAAACTTACAGTACACAGACTACATACTGTCCATATCAGTCCCTACTCTCCACTGCCCATCAACAGAATTTGAAACAGTTGATTTTTTTTTTTTTTCTTGAGACAGAGCCTCAAGCTGTCACCCTGGGTAGAGTGCAGTGGCATCACAGCTCAAAGCAACCTCCAACTCCTGGGCTCAATCAATTCTCTTGCCTCTGCCTCCCAAGTAGCTGGGACTACAGGCACCTGCCACAATGCCCGGCTATTTCCTGATTGCAGTTGTCATTGTTGTTTGGCTGCCCGCACTGGATAAAAACCCACCAGCTCAGGTGTATGTGGCTGGTGCCTAAGCCACTTGAGCCACAGGCTCCGAGCCTGAAACAGCTGATTTACAGAGCACTGCAGTTAGCTATTTAGGCTGCTTTTCTTGGCTGCTCAGTCTCACTCTCTTGTGGGTTCTTTCTCATTCCTTTGGAGCTCAGTCCTGGGACTTCTCTTTTTCTATCTAATCTCTTGCCCTTGGGGATTTAATCTAGTAGTTTAAAGGCTTTAAAAACTAACTATATGGGGCGGCGCCTGTGGCTCAGTGAGTAAGTAGGGCACCAGACCCATATACCAAGGGTGATGGGTTCAAACCCTGCCCTGGCCAAACTGCAGCAAAAAATAGCCCAGCATTGTGGTGGTGCCTGTAGTACCAGCAACTTGGGAGGCTGAGGCAAGAGAATCATCTAAGCCTAAGAGCTGGAGGTTGCTGTGAGCTGTGACAGCACAGCACTCTACCGAGGGTGACAAAGCAAGACTCTGTCTCTTTAAAAAAAAAAACAAAAAACTATTGACTCCCAAAGTTTTACCTTCAGCCTTTCCTCTGAAATGCAAACCCATAAAACCAGCCATCTGCTTGATACCTCCACTGTAAGCCTAATAGGCTTCTTAAACATAGCTTAACAAACAAACAAACAAACAAAAAAACAAACAAAAAAAACAAACAGGCTCGGTGCCTGCCACGTACAACAGAGCTGGTGGGTTCAAATCCAGCCCAGGCCTGCCGAACAACAAAGACAACTACAACCAAAAAATAGTTGGGCATTGTGGCCGGTGCCTGTAGTCCCAGCTACTTGGGAGGCTGAGGCAAGACAATCACTTAAGCCCAGGAGTTGGAGGTTGCTGTGAGCTGTGATGCCACAGCATTCTACCCAGGGTGACAGCTTGAGGCTCTATCTCAAAACAAAACAAAACAAAAAACAAACATAGCTTGTCCAAAGCTGAGGTCCTGATACACCACCCAGACCATTTCCTTCTCCACTTAGCCCATCTCAATTAATGACAACTCCATTCGGAGCTGCTTAAAACTTTGGCCAAAAATTCATGTGCAATGTTTGATTCTTCCTTTTTTTCACATATATCATCCCACTCAGCTATTATCAAACCCTGTCACTCTAGTTTCAAAATAAATCCTGAGGCTTGGTGCCTGTGGCTCAAGTGGCTAAGGCGCCAGCCACATACACCTAAGGTGGCGGGTTTGAATCCAGCCCAGGCCTGCGAAAACAACAATGACGGCTGTAACCAAAAAATAGCCTGGCGTTGGGGCAGGTGCCTGTGGTCCCAGCTACTTGGGAGGCTAAGGCAGGAGACTTGCTTGAGCCCAGGAGTTGGAGGTTGCTGTGAGCTGTAATGCCACGGCACTCTCCCCAGGGGGATAGCTTGAGGCTCTGTCTCAAAAAAAAAAAAAAAAAAAGTAAATCCTGAGTTCAACCTCTTCTTACCACTTTCACGACCACCATCCCAGCTCAAGGCTCCACCATTTCTTGCTTTTATTAATGTTACTATTATATATTTTTTGAGATAGAGTCTCTTTCTGTTCCCTGGGCTAGAATGCAGTGGCATCATAGTTCACAGCAACTTCAAACTCCTGGGCTCTAGCAATTTTCCTGCCTCACTCAGCCTCCCAATCAACTGGGACTAGATAGAGGCGTGTGCCATCACACTCAGCTAATTTTTCTATTTTTTGTGGAGACAGGGTTTTGCTGTTGCTCAGGCTGGTCTCAAACTCCTGGCTTCAAGCAATCCTCCCCATCTCAACCTCCCATGAATGCTAGGATTAGAGGCATGAGCCACTGTGCCTAGCCTTTTTGCTTGTATTATTGCAAAAGCTTCCTGGCTCAGCGCCTGTGGCTCAAACGGCTAAGGCGCCAGCCACATACACCTAAGGTGGCAGGTTCGAATCCCCAGCCCGGGCCCGCCAAACAACAACAATGGCTGCAACCAAAAAATGGCCAGGCGTTGTGGCAGGCGCCTGTAGTCCCAGCTACTTGGGAGGCAGAGGCAGGAGACTCGCTTGAGCCCAGGAGTTGGAGGTTGCTGTGAGCGTGATGCCATGGCACTCTACCTAGGGGGATAGCTTGAGGCTCCTGTCTCAAAAAAAAAAAAAAAAAAAAATCGCAAAAGCTTCCTAAGTGGACTGCCTGCTTCTGCCCTTGTGCTGCCAACATCTCTAATAGAGGAATCCTGTTCAAATGTAAGTCAGATCAGTCAAGTCATTCCTCTGCGGAAAACCCTGTAATGAAAGCCTCATTAACCTATTGTAATGGCTCTCAATATAGAGTAAAAGCAAGGGTCCACACTATGACTGATGAGACCCTATGTGAAATGCTCCATTACTGTCCCCACTTTATCTCCATCTACCCTCCAACCCTCTCCTCCAGCCACACTAGGCTCCTTGATGTTCCTGGAATATACTAGGCATGTTCCCTCCTGTGTCTTTGCATTTGTTGATCCTCTTCCTTGCAGTACTTTTCTTCCATATAAATGCATAGCTAGTTACCTTATTTTCTTCAGATCTTTATTCAAAAGCCACCTAATCTAAAATTTCAGTCTTGCTGCCAACATTTCCTATTACCCTTCCCTGTTTTACTTTCTCTTCTAGCATTTACGATTATCTAACATAGCATGTATTATAACTATTTATCTTGTTTATCGTTTATTTCACCTACTAAAATATAAGCTCCTCAAGGGCAGGGATTTAATCTAATCTATTTGGTTTCCTGTTATATTCCCAGCATGTAAACAGTGCCTGGCACAGAATAATCAATATCTGCTAAATGAATGAATATACCCTGAAGTAAAAATTAAAATTTAAATACAGATGTTTTAAATTGGTGATACAATTACTCTTTTCCTATAGGAACACATCTCTGAAATGATAAAGACAGTTAGTGGAAAAATAATTCAATATATCAAAACTTGATAGGCAGCATTTCTATGAATTTACTTAATTTGCAAAGGAAAACTAGCATTTATTAGCTTTATTGCCCATAGCAAATTATTCATAGCAATTTTCACTTCAGAATTGCACATGTCCTGAGCACTATGCTGGCCATTGCATTCTAGAACCATTTCATGTGTGCTCATAGCTTACAAACTGAAACATCATCCTATCATTAGAAAGAAAATTGTATTCTAAATCCCAATGCTGTTTATATCTTCTCTAGGCCCAAATAGTGTCTTTGGAATAAGAAACACCTGGATATAAGTCTCAGCTCCACCACTTTACTAGCTATGTGTCACCTAATCTGTGCAGTTTTCTTATGTATAAAGGTATATTTCATGAGTGAATAGGTACTCAATAAATGCTGCTACCCTTCATTCTCAACTCTAATAGATAATGAAGGTAACTACTGTTGTCAAAAACACCTTTTTTTTTTTTTTGTAGGACTGGCTACTCCTCAAGGGCTACTCATTCATCAGTCTGGAACCCCCAGAGCACTTGGGATGGGGTTACAATATTACAAACAGTTGAGACACTCGGGACACGCAGTTTACCAATTTGACTTTGCTTAGGTTGTGGGTCACTCACCTAAATAGCCTTGAGTCTTTTTCTGTAGTGCAGTGACTGGGCAGTCTTTATGAGCTAACAGTAGCTGTTTCAACTGAGCCACCTCATTGCGTAGTAATGTGACTTCATTCTGAGAAGGGTGGGAAGAAAACAGTTATTAAGAAAATTCATTCTCAGGTGGTGCCTGTGGCTCAAAGGAGTAGGGCGCTGGCCCCATATGCTGGAGGTGGTGGGTTCAAACCCAGCCCCGGTCAAAAAACTGCAAAAAAAAAAAGAAAGAAAAAGAAAACTTATTCTCCCCCAGTGGCTAGCCACAAAGTGAGGACAGAATGTTGCCTAGGTTTTCCGCCCCAAATTGGGACAAAACTTTTTTTGTTTTCCAACAAGGCTTTAGACAGCTCAGGGCCAGAAAAGTCATGAATTCAAGGACAGGGTTATACTGACAAGTAGGGATTTATAATAAAAAAAATTACTCCTATTTTGGATAAATTATTATACCCAAATCAATAATACATATGCTATTTGACCAAGAGAATCTACTTCTAGCGATCTATTTAACATAACTACTCATGTGCATGCAATGTTCACTGTAGCACTGCTGTTTAACAAAAAATTAGAACAATGTCAATATCCATACCTTATGATGTAACCACATTACAGAATATACTACTAAATACAACTATTAAAAAGAAAGTGGTAGATCCCCCATATCCATGGTTAGATCTTTAGGAACTACAGTTAACCAATTTATGTTAAAACAAACACACAATCCCTCCAACTCCTCCATAAAAACTGTAAATAAAAAATATTCAGACATACATATATGTTTAGAAGGTACACACCCAATTTATATACAGAGAAGAGAATGGGACTGGGAAAGAGATTTAGAAGGAACTTTGTTTTCATTCTATCCATCTCTGTGTGCATATTATAATAGAAATCTATTCATATGTTACCTTTGTACCTAAATATTTTAATAAATAATCAGAAGGGAAAATAACATTCAAGAGGATGTCTGCATTAACCAACATCGTTCTATTTGTGCTTGCAGCAGTCTTTGCTTTCCTTATTTTAGTAAGCTGCATTATCTAGGGCAAAAACATTTCCCTTGGGTGTTCCATGACCCCAGACAGATTCTACTGATGATTTAAAACAAGTACCCTGGAGTGCTTAATCTAATTTCCTTTATCCAAATGGGTTTAGGGATGACTGATTCTAGTAGAAGATTTGGGGGTAGTTGGTGAATGTCTTTCTCAAACCCTAGGGAAGAGATTTAACTCTGACCATTAAGAGGGTCTTTCTAACTTCTGTATCTGCCCTAATTAAAGAATTGCTATTTTCTATTACATTGTCCCATTTTTTTCTTATTCAATACCACTTTCCAGATTCAACAATCACCATAATCATTCAGGACCCACTCACACTCAGCTGAATGTTCTGAGACGTGAGTTCCTCTGCCTTCTTCTCTAGGGAAGACACCCATAGCTTCCGTTTTTGGCGGCAGCGGGAGGCTGCAGCGCGATTGCGCTCCAGAAAGCGCTGCCGTCGCTCATCTGGATCCTCGTCCACGGTACGCCGCCGTCGGCCCCCAGTACTAGGGGTGGGCTGGGCTGGTGAGACCTGTTAACCAGGGAGGAAGAGGAGTTCCTTTCTAAATCACAACTGACATTAAATAGATTAGGAAGGTCTGGTAAAGGGATGGACCACAGCAAGTCTTATCACTGTGTCCTTAAGCTGCTTTTTTTTTTTCTTAAGACCCAGCCTCCAACTATTCCCCTGGGTAGAGTGCTGTGACATCACAGCTCACAGCAACCTCCAACTCCTGGGCTCAAGCGAGTCTCCCGCCTCAGCCTCTCAAGTAGCTGGGATCACAGGTGCCCCCCACAATGCCGGGCTATTTTTTGGTTGCAGCTGTCATTGTTGTTTGGCAGGCCCAGGCTGGATTCGAATCCACCAGCTCAGGTGTTATGTGGCTGGTGCCTTAGCCACTGGAGCCACAGGCGCCGAGCCCCTAAGCTGCTTTTTTGCAGTTAGTTCATCATTCAGCCTCCCATGTCCTTGCATTCTTCTTAGCCCCATAGTTTGTTTGTTTGTTTTTTTTTTGAGAAAGAGTTTCAAGCTGTCGCCCTGGGTAGAGTGCCATGGCATCACAGCTCATAGCAACCTCCAACTCTTGGAATTATGTGATTCTCTTGCCTCAGCCTCCCAAGTAGCTGGGATTACAAGTGCCCACCACAACACCCGGCTATTTTTTGGTTGTAGTTGTCAGTATTGTTTGGCAGGTCTGGGCTGAATTTGAACCTGCCAGCTCTAGTACATGTGGCTGGTGCCTTAGCAACTTGAGCTATAGATACTGAGCCTTTTAGCCCCATAGTTAAACAAACTACAGTTCAGGTGGAAACTCGATTATTTCTGAGACAGACAAAATTAAACTAGGATCACTTTTAGTAGCTTAATAATAGGGAATCCTATATGCATGGTAATCAAAATGTGGGAGGGTGTCAGGGGAACTTTTAGGGAGAATGTAATAAAAAAGGTTGATCATCTGGGCAGTGCCTGTGGCTCAAAGGAGTAGGGCGCCAACCCCATATGCCGGAAGTGGTGGGTTCAAACCCAGTCCTGGCTAAAAAAAAAAATTTTGATGATCACTAATATGTACAAACAATTGCATGCTATAAGTTTTCAGAAAAGGAAAAAAATGCTTTTATTCATTACATTACCCATGAAATAAGGGCTTCTGTGAAGATAAAATTTAATTATTAGCAGTTATTAATCATCCTTAGCAATTTCCCTCTTTTGTTGTAAACAGAGAGAATGCTTAATTCCTTTACAAATTGGTAATACAGGACTACCCATTTTTCTTTTTTATTTTCTGAGTCAGAGTTTCCCTGTCACCTTAGGTATAGTGCTGTGGCATCATAGCTCACAGCAACCTCAAACTCTGGCTCAAGTGATCCTTTTTTTTTTTTTTTTTGAGACAGAGCCTCAAGCTGTCCCCCTGGGTAGAGTGCTGCGGCATCATAGCTCACAGCAACCTCCAACTCCTGGGCTCAAGTGAGTCTCTTGCCTCTGCCTCCCAAGTAGCTAGGACCACAGGCGCCCACCACAATGCCCAGCTATTTTTTGGTTGCAGCCATCATTGTTGTTTGGCGGGCCCAGGCTGGATTCAAATCCACCACCTCAGGTGTACGTGACTGGCGCTTTAGCCACTTGAGCCACAAGCACCAAGCCAAGTGATCCTCTTATCTCAGCCTCCTCAGTAGCTAGGACTATAGGTGCACAGAACAATACCTGTCTAGTTTTTCTATTTTTAGTAGAGACAGGGTCTTCCTTTGCTCCGGCTGGTCTCCAACTCCTGAGCTCAAGTGATCCACCTGCCTTGTTTTGAAACTGCAAGCTAAAGTCATCACTTAAGCACTTTTTTTTTTTGGGAGACTGAGTCTTGTTTTGTTGGTCTCGGTAGAGTGCCATGTCATCTTGGTAGAGTGCTGTGGAGTTGAGGCTCACAGCAACCTCTAAGTTTTGGGCTTAAGAGAGTCTCTTGCCTCAGTCTCCCAAGTAGCTGGGACTACAGGTGCCTGCCACAGCACCTGGCTATTTTTTTGTTGCAGTTGTTGTTGTTTAGCTGGCCCGGGCTGGGTTAGAACCCACCAGCCTTGGTGTATGTGGCTGGCGCCATAACCACTGTGCTATGGGTGCTGAGCCTATCTTCTCTTTTACTTAGCTGGTATGCATTCAGAAAAGGTGAACCAGGCTCGGTTCCTGTAGCTCAGCGGTTGGGGCACCAGCCACATACACTGGGGCTGGCAGGTTCAAACCCAGCCCCAGGCCTGCCAAACAACAGTGATAACTACAGCAACAATGACAACAAAATAGCTGGGCACTGTGGTGGGCGCCTGTAGTCCTAGCTACTTGGGAGGCTGAGGCAAGAGAATCTCTTAAGCCCAAGAGTTTGAGGTTGCTATGAGCTGTGATGCCACAACACTCTACCAAGGGTGAGACTCTGTCTCAAAAAAAAAAAAAAAGCAAACCTATTTTATAATAGTGCCCCAAACTTGGTACAAATGTGGAAAGGTAGACCAGCGTGGTGGCTCACACCTGTAATCCTAGCACTCTGGGACACTGAGGCAGGTGGATTGCATGAGCTCAGGAGTTTGAGACTAGCCCAAGCAAGAGCAAGAACCCCAGCCAGATTTCTTGACCTTTTAAAAGAGTGAGACTCTACCTCTTTTTAAAAAATAGAGACTAGTTAGGCATGTTGTGGGCATATATGCCAATAGTCCTAACTACTTGGAAGGCTGAGGTGGAAGATCCCTTGAGTCCAGGAGTTTAAAACTGCCGTGATCTATGATCATGCCACTGCACTCTAGCCTGAGGGGCAGCGTGAGACCTAATGTGCTAAAAACAAGACAAAATTATCATTGGAGGCCGGGCACAGTTGCTCACACCTATAATCCTAGCACTCTGGGCAGCCAAGGTGGGTGGATCACTTAAGCTCAGGAGTTGGGGCTCGGCGCCTGTGGCTCAAGTGGCTAAGGCGCCAGCCACATACACCTAAAGTGGTGAGTTCGAATCCAGCCCGGGCCCGCCAAATAATAATGATGGCTGCAACCTCCCCCCCAAAAAATAGCCAGGCGTTGTGGTGGGCACCTGTGGTCCCAGCTACTTGGGAGGCAGAGGCAGAAGAGTCACTTGAGCCCAGGAGTTGGAGGTTGCTGTGAGCTGTGATGCCA